TGCAAGTATGGGCGCTGCCCGCAGCATGATAGACCATTGTTTCCGATTTGTCACTCCAGCGGTCCTTCCAGTGGCTTTGCAACGCTACGCTGCCCTCTTTGGAAAGAGCAGCACGGGGGCAAGAGACTCTGCTGGTTCTCACGGCGATTCCAGGGAGACGAAGGCCTTTTGCCTTCTGCCGTCCGAACAGCGCTGCACGAGCGTCGCAGCACTGTTGCATGGCAGCTGCAACACGGAAGCCGTGTTGCTTGACCCGAGACGTGTCTGGTTTTGCGCGCAAATGGCCTCAAGTGTTCTGCTGCGTTTTCAGGGTTGACGGCTCAGGGTTGAGGGTTTCGGCGTTTACGGTTTACGGTATCGCTTTACACGTTTAGGGAACATCCAAATCCCAAAATCCCAAAATCCCAAAATCCCGAAATCCCGAAAACCCAAAATCCCAAAATGCCAAAATCCCCAAATCCCACAATCCCACAGTCCCGAAATCCCAAAATCCCAAAATGCCAAAATCCCCAAATCCCACAGTCCCGAAATCCCAAAATCCCAAAATCCCCAAATACCAGACTCCCCAAATCCCCAAATCCCAAAATCCCACAGTCCCGAAATCCCTAAATCACAAAATACCAAAATCCCCAAATTCCAAAATCCCACATGCCTGCATTGCTTCCGCTCACACCTTTTTCTCGCTAGTAGGTCGCAGTTCGACTTGCGTGCCTGCTGTGCTCCCTTGATGGGCTTGGTACGACAAGCCTCGCGGGGTCAGGGAAAGCAGAAGCGTCATGCTTGCTCGGGCTGTGGCTCTAAGAGTCACAGACTAGAAACTTGCCGTGCCTTTGCGGCCAACAAACTCAGGGCCTTGCTGAAGAAGGTGGCTTCTCTAAAGGAGGCGTCCAAGACGGCAGTTCGGAAGGAGCTCAAGTTTCGCAACTCTCCGCATTCCAGTGGTTCCTTCAAAAAGAACGCCACGGCAAAATACAAGGCGAAGAAGCTCCAGGAGGTTGTGCGCAGTCCCAGCGCCGCAGAGGTGCGCAGACGCAAGCCCTCCGTCATGCCTACAGACACGTGCTCCACACATGAAGAAGCTGCTTCCTGGCTTCTTCAGAACAAGTTTATGCGCAAGCCCCGAAGGTGCCCAGGCTGCAAAGGCTCCAAGTTGTCGGCGCTCAAGTGGACTCGGAACTCCATGCACTGGCGATGCCTCAAGACTGGCTGTGGAAACCGCATTCCGTGGAATGCGAACTCCATCTTCCAGGGTCTTCGGTGTCTTCCGCTGGTGCTGTTGCGCATGCTCTGCGTCTACGCGCAGCTCGACTTGTGCTCAGTTCCTCGTGCTGCCGACGTGGTACAGCATGCCAGAGTCGGTCGGTGCAAAGCCAGCCACTTCTTGTCCGCTCTCAGACGCGCCGAAGCAGACGCCACGTCCGAGCTCTCCCAGAATGCTGCTCTCTGCGGGAATCTGGAGGCGGCACACGCGCAGTCATGTCAGTCCACCCGACCCTAAACCCTGAATCCTACACCCTGAACCCTAAACCCCTCAACCCTAAACCCTTAACCCCTGAACCCTTTACCGTAATACGGAAATATTTCAGGTGGATGCGACCTGCGTCGGCAAATTTCATGTGTGAAGCAGCAATGTACACTATGCTGCACAGATTGCGAAGCTCAACCAGAAAATGGCCAAGAAGAAGCTCCCAATGCCCAAAAGTGTCTTGGCACATGTGCCAGTCCTGGGAATTCGTGAGCGTTCTGGACCTCCCTACATCTGGGTTGGGGACCCTGTTCTTACTCTTCCCAAGTCCAGACCGCCGACCGAGTCGTCCCAGCAGGCTCCCATTTTGTCACACACCCATAACTGTAGCTCTGACCCAATTGTAAGGGCCCATCAACCCCGTTGCTTTTATGAAAAGTTATACTCAGGATGTGTTGGCCCTGAAATCCCCTTCCTAAGCCAATCTTCACCCATAGGTGGCATCCTCCAAACTCTTCGACTTGGTCAAAGGAAGAAGCAGAAAACGCTGCATCTTCCCAGATGGAAACGTTGCGTGGCAGTCCGCAGCCGAAGCCCGTGGCCTTCCAGTTGAACCTGTGACTCACCAGTTAAGAGTTTTCACCCGGCCATACTCCCCAGCCTGTACAGCCATAAGTGCTCTTGCCGGGACGCAGTGCATCGACAGGAGCTGGGAAGGTCTTAAACAGTTCTTGCCGAAGCACTTGGTGCTCAAAGTCCAAGGCGCCCTCAATGAGGAGGTTCCAAAGACCGTGCGCCAGTGGATGTGGCGTATGCATGTTTTCCACGAAGGCTACCTGAGCCCAGCAGACTTCCTCAACAAGCTGCGAACGATTGTGTGAAAATAGGCCTCGACGAAGTAGTTTCAGAGCGATGTTAAACACTACTTTTTCAGCGACATTCCTTGGAAACAGCACAAACGCACTGTAAAATCACTAATTAACGAGATGCCAATTCTTCGAATCCTACACGGCGTTTAACGGGCCGTGCACCTAGTAGTAGTAGTAGTAGTAGTAGTAGTAGTAGTAGTAGTAGTAGTAGTAGTCGTCGTCGTCGAAGAAGTAGTAGAGAGTAGTAGAAAGTAGTAGAAAGTAATAGAAAGTAGTAGAAAGTATTTCAATTTGGTAGCAGAAAGTAGTAGAAGGTAGTAGAAGGTAGTAAAAAGTAGTAGAAAGTAGTAGAAAGCAGTAGAAAGTAGTAGAAAGTAGTAGTAAGCAGTGTGCAGAAGCCATAAGCAGTAAGTAGTGAGTAGTAAGTAGCCAGTAGCAAGTAGCAAGCAGCAAGTAGCAAGAAGAAAATAGTAAGTAGTAAGTCACGAAAGCTAGCTCCTTCGGAGCTTGCGGGAGTTCTTGTTTACCAATTTTGTTTTGAGTTAATCAGCACTCAGCGGCCTTCATCTCCGATACATCGGAGTTTACGGTGTCGGGACCCCTTCTCCCCTTTGGTGTGCCTTGCACGTTGAGGACCCAACGGGGGGTGTTTCTCGATAAGCTAGGTGGAACCCCCCCCCCTGCCGCTTAGGCCTCGCCCCCCCTTCTTAGGCCTTTTCTTGAACCAGTACTTTGTTTGATGTTGACACACGGTTGTTCTCGCATATGTGCTGTTTTGAGTTGGCATTCTGCAAGCTCACCTAGGATGTACTTTGTTTGTTGCTCACAAGTGCTGTCTTGATGCGTGCAACGCAAGCTCACACAAGATATACTTCGTTCGTTTCCCATGTGCTGTCTTCATGCGCACAACACCAGCACACATAGGGTGCTGGCCTTCTGCCAGGGAACTAGCTTTCGTTCGCCCTGCTCTCAAGTAGGTACTGTAGTAGGAGGAGGAGGAGGTCGTAGGCAGTAGGCAGGAGGCAGCAGTCAGTAGGTAGTAGGTAGTCGCTGGTAGGTAGTAGGTAGTAGGTAGTAGTAGGTAGTAGGTAGTAGGTATTAAGTAGTAGGTAGTAGGTAGTAGGTGGTAGGTGGTAGGTGGTAGGTGGTAGGTGGTCGGTGGTAGGTAGTAGGTGGTAGGTGGTAGGTAGTAGGTAGCAGGTAGTAGGTGGTAGGTGGTAGGTAGTAGGTAGCAGGTAGGTAGTAGGTAGCCGGCAGCGGCAGCAGGTAGTAGGTAGCAAGTAGGTAGCAGGCAGGTAGGAGGTAGGGAGCAGTCGGCAGGTAGTAGGCAGGCAGGTATAGGTAGTAGGTAGTCGTTAGTAGGTGTTCGGCAGGAGGCAGGAGGCAGGAGGCGTTCCAAGCTTGAGCGTCCTTAGGTCGGCCTGTCTAACTTTGTGATCAATTTTGGGGCGGCCGACGGTGAGTGTGGCTCCGACGAGGCAGTGCAACAACAGCTGTGCTTTGTCTTACGTTGCGACCATTTTCCGCAAGGATTGGAACGCCGACCCTGCAAATTGCCTGACAAGTGAAGGCAAGTTGCCTGTAGCCAAAGCACGATTGCACCATCAAAGCCGATGATTGCATATCTTTGGACACTCTTACCTCTTGCTTGCGCAAAAGGCTTCTCGGCAATTGTCGTTGAAGGAGATCAAAAGCTGCTTGGTCAAACCAGCAAAGAAAATGCTGTGCAGACACAAGTACGGGTGCCTGAGGTTCTTTGACACTTTGCGACGTCGATATGGAGATCGGACTGATGTGTCCATGGTGCGAATGCCCTGCAATCCACAATGGCCCACGATGGCTCCAAGAAAGCATGTTCCAGCCTTCTTCTCCGAACTGCAGAGCTAGTAGGAACCGTGAGGATTGGAAGGTGCTCGTTCTGCCAAGTGGGTCAGGGCCGCAGGTTAAATCACCTAAAAAAAATATTGCAGACCGCAGCCTTTGCAGACTTGGTATGTGTCACCACATATCAGCACCCAATAAGTATCCCAGACAGCGCATGCCTGTGCTCACAATCTTTCGCATAGTTGTTCAGCTGCTAGCAATATGCATGTAGAGCTGCTGTATTGAAACCGACACATCCCGAAACAATCCCGAACATGGCAGCATCAGAGCCATCCTCTGGACATTCGGGACATGATGGTCTAGTCTTCGAGTACTGGGCCGGCAATCCATCGAACGAGATCTTTCATGGCCACATCACAGTCGCATTCCCGGAGAGTGAAAAGAGCGGGCTCGAAAGCCTCAATGGAAACTCAGAAAGACCGGAAGCATGTATGGCCTTGGCAACTTCGGTTCCCTGTCACATGTCAGCCCCTGAGTTTTGTGACTTTGTTGGTGCATTTGGCTCTGAAACGCATCGCAGATTCAGACATTGCCGAGTCTTGCACGGGCACAACAGTGAAGAGTACCTCCTGGCATTGCTGATGGCATCGCCAGATGATGTGTCATGGCTGGTGCAAGAGTTTCACGGAAGACCCTACAATGCCATCGAAGCCAGTGTTTGCAGTCTCCATCCTGTGCTGAGTAGTCAGACCGGATGGGAAGACAATGCAAGTCCAAATGCGGACCGTAGTGACCGTGGACTTGCCAAACGCCGGTCCCCTGTGTTGCCGCCCGCATTGCCGCCCGCATTGCCCCAGCAGCCGGCTGACCACGATCTATTCCACTCCTTGGCAAGTTGTTCAACTTCGCCTCTAATGCTGCCTTCATCTGCTCCGTTTGAGCGGAAATCATCACCTTTGACATCACCATGTTCTCAGGCAGATGTGCCAGAGCTCTTCATAGAAACCGGACCCAGCACACACAGCGTCGTGTCTCCGACGCCAACTGCTTCTGGAAATGAGCGCTCGTATTGTGCTGTTTGTTTTGAAGCGGTTGATTCCAACCCGGCGGAATACCAATTGACTGAACTTGGTGGAGGCGTGCCGCTCACTATTCTGTGCGGGCATACCTTTCATGCACGTTGCCTATCCCGCTGGTGTGACAGTACTTGCCCGGTATGCCGATTTCAACAGCATCCGTATCAGACGTCCTCATGCGATGTGTGCGGACAAGCGGAGGGGGTGCATATTTGCCTTGTGTGCGGGTTTATCGGTTGTACGGCGCAACCCGGCCAGGGCCATGCCCAACAACACTTTGAAGCAACATCTCATGCATACGCACTAGATGTGAACACTCAGCATGTCTGGGACTATGCTGGCAATGGTTACGTGCACCGGCTGCTCTACAATGATCAGGACGGCAAGATGGTGGAGCACTCCGTTCCGCAAGACGATGATTTAAACTTCTCAGCCCAGTCTGTCTTTGGCGGCCTTCGATGGGCTGACATGGAGGATGATGACTGCGACAAGGCTTCCCACTCTCAGCCCACTCCTCGTGTCCTAGAGAACCGGTCTCAACATGTCTCAACATTGCAGAACTTCTAATCTCTTCCCCTTAATATTAAACGGGGGCCCCCCCCCCCCCCCTTTAAAAACTCGAAATGTGTTTTTTATTTTTAGGGGGAGGTTATTATCGAAATGTCATAATTAGTTCGACTTCAGGGTTTCTCAAGTAATCAAATTACTTAAGTGTGGTGTAAACTGAAAGAGAGAAAGAGACAGAGAAAGAGAAAGAGAAAGAGAAAGAGAGAGAGAGAGAGAGACAGAGAGAGGGGGAGACTGGTTCCGTTGTGGGGGAGAGGGAGGTTGAAGTAGGGTTGGGGGTGAAGAGACGACTGGAAATTTTTTGAGAGGTCCGAAAAGGGCATCCATATTACCAGCAAGTTACCAGCCGAGTAGATGAATGGGGCGGGGTCTTTAATTCAGGGTGGGGCAAACCTTTCGCTCCAATCGGACAGCAATGCATGTTTTTACCTCGCAGCCCGCCTGTTTGATTTTGTGCGCAAAGACGCTTCTGTAACGAGCTCGGATGGGGGGACGCAAGGCCCTACAAGGTCACCAAGCACAGGTGCAGCTCGAATGGGTTCAGTAATGGGGGCGTACCTAAGTGTGCTACACGTGCAAGGGGGAGGGTTGGGGGCACACGAGCTGCGCGGGGTGACCTCCAACAAACAACCGAGCCGCTCCGAATACAGGGAGAAAGAAAGAAAGAAAGAAAGAGGGGGAGAGCTCAAGTGCTGCGGAAGGAAGGAAGGAAGGGGGAGAGCTCAACTCTCGCAGCACAGCAAGGCTCAGACAGAGCCAGTGAGGCACACGCACACGCACATGCACACACAGTTACTCTGTCACTACCCCAACCCTAAACCCTCTGAGGTTTTATTGGTGTTGAGCTTGAACCCCGCCCACTTCTTTTATTACTACTCGTGGTCTCTTTAAGTTCGTAGAGTACTTCACTTCCCTCTTGACGAAAGCGCAAAGGCATAAAGCACAGCCTGGGCCAAACGGCCTTGTGCCTTGCCCTGAGGGGTCGGAACCAAAGGATCCACAAAGAACCACATTAGAAGAACCTCTAAGATCAATGTCTCGCAACACACAGAAAAAAAACATGTCCGGCACATCTTGGTGGGTCGCTTGGTTGGGAAACCCCCTGGACTAACGGCTTTGAGACTGCGAGGGTCGATGTTCTTCAACGTCTCCAGTAGTAATCCTGCACGCTTCCTCTACACGTAATGTGCAACAAAACACACTCCCTGCAGATCGCGGCGCTCTTCACTCGAGCGTAGCGTGCCTTCATCATGGTGGTCACGACCAGCGCGAGCACATGAAGAGTTTTCGATGATGGGTTTTGTCTTGAGTGTGTCTTGTTTCGGGTTTGCTTACTTTACTCATGATGTTTCTTGAGCCACAGTGGCCCTGCAGCAAGGTCCGGTTCGAGCACTTCGTCAGGAGCCAAGAAGCAGGAGGCCATCGTCGGTGAGTTCAACAATTTACTTTCCTCCCAGCTGACAGCTGCTTGGAGGCACCAAATGTGCGGCCATGGGTACATGGTACGTGTAAGTTTCGTGAATTGTATTTTGGTTGAAGAAGGGGGTTTTTAGTGATGTGCACAGAGTGTACTCCGAATCCAATAGGATGGGCGGCGTCGAGCTGCTGCAAGTAGCGGAAGATGAAGGGTGTCGTGGCGACGAGGTTTGCCATGGTTTTACTCACAACAAGACGACGTGCATTGCCAATTGCCGGTTCTGAGGCTCAACGACAGCATTTCGATGAGTTGAGGACAGAACAGGATTCGGTTGGCAGGAATGATTCTTGAAACATGCATGCCGCTAGTGTGTGCTGTCACGCCAAGAGAAGAGAATCTATCGGTTGAGCTTGGAAACTAAGAACTATCGTGAAGTTGGTCCCAAGCCATAGAGGATCAAGAGGAACACTAGAGGAACCACGGGGCCTCGAGACCGAGCTGCCAAGTTGTGACAAATGTGCCGAGTTGCAAGACCAAAGGCAGGACATCGAGAAGCAGGGTGCCATTGAAATTGAAGAGATGGAGGCCCTGGATGGGTGTGTCTTCAGTTCACAATAGTTCACACGATGTTTTGTACCCATGTTTTGTACCCAGACGTGATCCCGTAAGCCAGTGCGTTGCGAGGTGCAGGTTGCAGTTGCAAAACAGACGGCAGATTCCGTCGACAGGCCGGTTCTTGATTTCTCTGGCAGGGCCTGCCTGGCATGCGAAATGCCAAGCCAGGCTGATGAAGAGCCTCCAGGAAGAAAGCGAGAACTTGATGAAGCAGATCACTGATGCAGCAAGCGCCGAGAACCTGGTCTGCGGCCTCGGCAGCGGCTTTCAAGATTGCACGATCGTACTCGCAGCAGAGCGGAGTGAGCTGTCGTTTTACAATGTTTTACACCAAGGCACAGCGCCAGAAGGACAAACTGGAGGAGCTCAACAGACGCCTCTCGCAAGAGCAGCGTGCCTTCGAGGCTGTCTGTCTATCTGGAATGCATATGTGCACACCATGTCGTGCCACCACGCAGCATAGTTCATCGGCCTTGAACGCTAGATAGGTGCATTATGGTGCATTTCTTGGACAGGATCAACAGGAGGATCAAGCCCAGCGAAAGCGAAGTGGCCGTCAACTCCGAGACCGCCAGCCAGCGAAAAAACTAGCCAAACTATGCTAAGATATTTGCCTAACCACTCGGACCACGGACCAGGGTACCACGTGGTACGGTGACAAGAGACGTATATAGAGCAAGGTGCCATCTGTTTTACGGTGTTTTGGTCTCGTGTGAGAAGTTCAAAGGTGTCAGGCAATGTTGCCAAAGGCATAAGCCACATCAGCTTCAACGACAGAAGCAGCCTGCTGTGCGGTCGCAGCATGTTCCAAGGATTGGTGATCAACAAACGCAAGATTTGTTGTTTGCCGAGAAGTGGCCGATGGTTTCTTTGTCAATCGGCAATGGGTTCCGGATGCAATTCCGGAAACGGGGTCGTGGGATGTCGTGGGTACGCAGTCACCAGCCAGGCTTGTTTAGGCTGGCGAAAGGTTGGATGTCGCAGCTTGCAAAGAGCCGCCGCTTCTAGACCGCTTGGGCCGTTGACGGAGCCCCACTTTTGCAAGAAAAGGAACTGGCGAGTGCTCTAACGAGACGTCGGGCAGAAGTTCTTTTGAGCTGCTGGGGGCATGGTGCGCTTGTTTCCAGACATCATCAGCTTGTTTCCAGATATCATCCCAAACAGAAAGAAACGCAAAGAAGGTGGGGGATGTGATGAGGGGGGAGACCGGCAACCCTCAGACCACACAAAGATGGAGAAGTTTGATGGGTGACCCAGATGCGCAATGATAGTAGCCTTGGCATGCAGGCATTGCCTTTGCAGTTGCCACCAAGGTGAGGTTGCAGAGCTGCAGCAGGAAATCAAGGACCTCGAGCTGTTTTTGCAGATGAGGCCATCTACGCCTTGGCCTTTGCACCTAATCTTTTTCCACTACTAGGCCTCGGCTACCGACCTACTTTGCACATATTTGCCATTGGCTTATGTTTGGACTCGCTGTGGAAAGGAACCCCACATCCGCGAATTTGTTGTTGCAATGTTGCACATACCCGGAAGTGTGGGTTTCAACGAAACTGATTGGCGGCCATGTTCCAAGATGCACCCGGTGATCGATGACTTCCACTGTCTGCCATGTTTGCTACCCTTTGACGCAGTTACTACGCTGCACAAAAGCCCGTTCTTTGTAGCACAGCCTGAACTTTGACATTCGGTCATCACCGAGTATCGGGCAGGAGAAAAATCACGAGCCGTTCAACGGGGCCTAAGCTGGAGCAGAAGCCACAAAAGGTACCTCACACCTGAACGAGTCGGAACTGCTCCGGGGACAGCTCCGATGGAACAGCTCGAATCATGTTTTTAACCCCAAGCTGACGAGCCAAAGGCCCATGCTCACTTTGTCTGTGCGAAGGATGCTTGTGGTGATTTTGCCGCTACGCTGCCAGGCGGCGTTGTGAAGCGTCCGCCAACGTCGCAGAACTACAAACTTCGCATCTCCTGGTGCGCTGGCCTCTGCTTGGACTTTGCTCGTCTTGGAATTGTCAGCGGCGACATAGCAAGTTGCCGCAAGTTGCCACTGCAAGTTGTCACTGGAGACTGCATGGCAGGTTACAGAAGGGGAGAGTCGTCGAGGTCGTAGGACTCGGCGGCGCTGAAAAACATGCCTTGGCTTCATCGCAACTTCTTGCTTTGT